ATGAATTCATTGTTATGTTTAGAATCCTAGTAAAATTGCAGGTGTCTGCCAATGGCAGCATCCTGGCTTGGACAATTCAGCAGCTCAGGTTGAAACCAGAGTTCTGACACTTTGCTAGGAGTCTTAGGAGCAGAGCCAAGGATGAATCCCTAGACCCTGGTTTAGTCTCTATTACTCATCATTATGATAAATGACATCTTCTATCCATGGTTAAGCTGGTCAAGTATTTATTTAGCTTGTCTTGTGTGGTTTAATGAATAATTACAAGATCCCCTCAACAAAGGTGATAGCTAGTCAGTAAGTTTTAACCCAAACTTGTAAAGCCAGTAAGTAAAAGTGACCTTTGAACTACATGGTTGTTTCTGTTTGCTGATCTGTAATTATTCTAAATGAACAGTAAAGCATAACTAGGAACTCACGGAATCCTGAATTATGGATTTCTCTTAGTTTTTCCTCTCTTTCCCAGTAAGTGTCTCTTCAGAGAGCATCATCTCAGTTTCCACAATGGTAGTTTTTATGTAATTCTTCAAGATTTAGTCAATAGTTACTCTCACAAGATGCTTTGATATCAATCTGTAAAAGATTATGCAGATTGTAGATAAAAAGGATCAGAAGGTTAAATTTTTTAAAATTGCAGAATAATAGAAATCCTCTTTTATTTCAGGTGATCAGGTAGATGTTCAAGAGTGTTTAAAAGAAAACTTCTTAGTACAAAATATTTTCCAATTATCTTTTTCAGTTTGCTAGTGTACCAGTAGATCACTGTTTTCTGCTTCTTCAGTTTTTTTCCATACCACTTAATATTTTACTGCTGTCATCTTTCTGAACCTTCCTCTGTAATATCTCCAATGTATTTCTTTGGACTTTGACTACCAGCTTTGATCTCCATGATACCTGGATTCAGTCTGAAAGAGGCAGAGTCCTTGAGACTGAATTAGAGGAAAGGATTGGGAAAAGAAAGGACACAGGCATCAAAGAGACATTCTTCTAGAACACTGAGCTGTGAGTACTTTCCAAAGCATAAGTCACCTCTTCCATTTATAAACATGCACCACACCTGAGATTTTTCTGCGTTCAAAAGCTGTGTCTGCTTCTAACAGGAACTTCTGGAAAGCAGAAGAATTGAGTGTTGCCAGTGTTGAAACTGATAATAGTGCTGAGATTTATGAGTACTTTTCTTTTTCAGGGAGGAGAGAGATACGATGCAGGAATGTATACTAGGGAGGCGAGGAGTTGGGGAGGCAGGTGTCAGAGTCTCATAGGAGTCCAGTCCCTACTCCCAAGCTGCCTTGTGGTTCTGAATTGGTCCTGATTTAATTCCTCCCCTCAAGGGCTGTGTGTGAGAGATGTGGAAGCAGAAACAAATCCATGCCCAGGACTGACTGGTGTGGTAGGGGCACATGGGCAGGTGTCTGATTTTCAGTCAGGTCCTCTTGAATCAAGGAAAGCAGGCATCTCAACTCCATCCATAGGCCTGAAGGCAAAAGGAATCTTGGCATTCATGAGAGGGACCTTGGAGTCCAAGTTAATGACCTGAAACAGGGCAGCTTGCTCTACAGACTCTGGCAAAGGTCATTACCTAAAAGTAGCTTTACTCTGAGTGAAGTTAAAAACAGAGAGGATATATGTCAATGAAATGTGCACATGCTGTAGCAGACACAATAAATAATCAGTGCCTTTTCTCAGTGTAAAATTACCTCTGTGATAGACATCTCCTCTGGAATTAGTTCTATAAAACTCCTGGGAAAAGACATACTTAAAGCCACTCATTTCCATTGCAGTTTAAGTCCATACTTCTTAAGCAGTGTAGATAGATATCAAGAAGCCTACTCATGCAGTGGTCCAAAGCCTATTCACCGGATCAGTCAGTATTCCAGGTGTGACCTGAGCAAGTGTGTGCATATAGGGAGGGAAGCGAGGCAGATGTGTTTCATCTACGTCATACAGTGTGCATAAAAATGCCCAGAAGAGGTGAGCTCATGTGATTTGGAGTCATTTAGCCTGAGTTTATCCTCTGGCTTCCTCACCCATTATCTGTGGGACTTTAGACAAACTACTTATCCTCTCTGAACTTCAGTTTTCTCAGCTGAGAAACGAGGGTCCCATCACCTAGCCTCAGAATGGTTGGGACAATGAAGTGTTCAGCCCTGACGCTATGTGAACATCACAGCACCCCTCCAACAACAGCTCTTGGTACTGCTTTAGCTGCAGGCCACCCAGATCTGCCTCTGTGGCTTGAGCAGTGGCGGTGGACGTGTGTGCTCTTTGTCACGTGACAACAGAGCATAATTTCTCCTCCCAGGCCCGAGGACGAGTGCTTCCTCAGCCCCCGTCGTCTGTTGGGCTGGGTGGACCTGGCTCCTACAGCCAAGCTGACTCATCGCCATGAACCCGTTCCCTGCTCTTCTCCCTGTTCAGGCACAGAAGTCCGGCTCAGGAGGGAACATTCAGGCCGCCGAAGACCTACTGCTGCTCAGCAGGCCCCTGACAGACCTGGTCAGCCTGCTCATCCCGCTGGTAAGAGCCCGCACACGTTCCTGTGTGTGTCTCAGCGCGTTCCTGGTGTGGGGGGAGTGACTTTGTTTGAATTTCATGATGTCTTGAGTTTCTATGCCATTTTAGTTCCTTTCAAAGCTGGAATCCAAAGATATTTCAGAAGATTATTCTGCCTGGAAATACTAAATTTCTACCTTTAACACCAGGTGTCTTATCATTCAAGTGGATATTTAAGTAAGGCAGAGTCTCAAATTCTTCTTAATGAATGTGAAGTTAAAAAAAATTCCAGAGATGAATTCCAAGAATGGAGAAGAAATCCATTATGGGAATCAGTTCTCTTTTAAAAAGTTATTTTAGAGTTATACTTGGCCTGCAGGACTCCCCTGAAACAGATGCACAGGCAGACCTAAAGCCTTACCCTCTCAGTCTCCACAGAAATACAGTGAAATAAGTGAAATTACATGAAAACAAGTGAGACTGCACAAGACCACTAAGTATATGAATAGAAACCAATAGGGACTCGGAGTTGGGTCCAACGGAACAGTTTTGATCAAATGTAAAGAGGACCCTACGTTACAGACACGTGACTTCCAGCCTTGGACAAAGCAATTAGTCACAGGGTTGGTTGTGAAATTCCACAGAACTCCCTGAACACCTTTCCAGATTTATGGATCCAAGGACTAGGGGCGCAGGTAACTCAGGGAAGGTGTTACCTGTGGCCCCCACACTTCACCGAGGCAGACCAACAGCTCTTCAGTTCTCTGAAGGCTGCTAGGATTTGCCTTCTTCTGCCCTGTGGCACAAAGGAAGGCAGATGCAGTTTGAACAACTAATCCTGTAGACTTCCTTATATTCAGCAAACAAAGGTTTGGTTCAAATGAGTGAAAACTAAAAAGCGGGAGAAAATCAGTCAGTACCGAGATACTAAGTAGTAGCATCTGTGGGCTGGAGCAGTCACAAAAAAGTGGCGGGGGGCTCACAGTGACGTGAGGGAACCCCAAATCCCAGGGAACTAGACATGTCCCTGGCAGAGTGGAAGGGTCTTTGGCGTAGGCTTTGCATGAAACTACTGGGAAAGTAGCAACCCTAACAGCTTCAGCTCAGAGCAGGACAGCTGAACCCTGACAGCCAGCCCTCTGACAGGCTGAGGGCGGGACACAGATGCGGCTCCAGTGAACAGAGGATTAACACAAATCACGTACTCATTAGGGACACATAAAAGACTGCAAAACAGCCCCATTAAATATAACTGCTGCAATATGTGATGTGTAGGATAATGATTATATTAATAGCAACTAAGATTTAAAAAGAAAAATAGCTTAAAGGCAGATGAAGAATCCATTTCAGTTAAACTTCTGGGACACTCTATTTCTCATATATATATTTTACAGAGAAGGTTTTGGTGTTTGCTTCTTTCTGAGATTTGTTTTCTTTTATAGGTGAATTTATTCCAATTAGATTTATTGTTTTTTTTTAACTTTTTTTATTGAGTAATAGTCATTTTACAATGTTGTGTCAAATTTCAGTGTAGAGCACAATTTTTCAGTGGTATATGAACATACATATATTCATTGTCACATTTTTTTTGCTGTGAGTTACCACAAGATCTTGTGTCTATTTCCCTGTGCTACACAGTATAACCTTGTTTATCTGTTCTACATTTTGAAATCTCAGTCTGTCCCTTCCCACTGTCCGCCCCCTTGGCAACCACAATATGTCTACGAGTCTGTTTCTGTTTTGTATTTATGTTTTGTTTTGTTTTGTTTAGATTCCACATATAAGTGATCTCATACGGCATTTTTCTTTCTCTTTCTGGCTTACTTCACATAGAATGACATTCTCCAGGAACATCCATGTTGCTGCAAATGGTGTTATGTTGTCGGTTTTTATGGCTGAATAGTATTCCATTGTGTAAATATACCACATCTTCTTTATCCAGTCATCTATTGATGGACATTTAGGCTGTTTCCATGTCTTGGCTATTGTAAATATTGCTGTTATGAACACTGGGGTGCAGGTGTCATTTTGAAGTAGGGTTCCTTCTGAATATATGCCCAGGAGCGGGATTCCTACATCATATGGTAAGTCTATTCCTAGTCTTTTGAGGAATCTCCATACTGTTTTCCACTGTGGCTGCACCAAACTGCATTCCCACCAGCAGTGTAGGAGGGTTCCCCTTTCTCCACAGCCTCTCCAGCATTTGTCATTTGTCATTTGTGGACTTTTGAATGATGGCCATTCTGACTGGTGTGAGGTGATACGTCATCGTAGTTTTGATTTGCATTTCTCTGATAATTAGTGATACTGAGCATTTTTTTCATGTGGCTATTGATCATTTGTGTTTCTTCCTTGAAGAATTGCTTGTTTAGGTCTTTTGCCCATTTTTGGATTGGGTTGTTTGTTTTTTTCTTATTAAGTCGTATGAGCTGTTTATATATTCTGGAGATCAAGCCTTTGTCAGTTTCATTTGCAAAAATTTTCTCCCATTCCGTAGGTTGTTGTTTTGTTTTACTTCTGGTTTCCTTTGCTGTGCAGAAGCTTGTAAGTTTCATTAGGTCCCATTTGTTTATTCTTGCTTTTATTTCTATTGCTTGGGTAGACTGTCCTAGGAGAACATTTTTAAGATGTATGTCAGATAATGTTTTGCCTGTATTTTCTTCTAGGAGATTTATTATATCTTGTCTTATGTTTAAGTCTTTGATCCATTTTGAGTTGACTTTTGTGTATGGTATAAGGGAGTGTTCTAGCTTCATTGCTTTACATGGTGTTGTCCAGTTTTCCCAACACCATTTGCTGAAGAGACCGTCTTTATTCCATTGTGTGTTGTTGCCTCCTTTGTTGAAGATGAGTTGAGCAAAAGTTTGTGGGTTCATTTCTGGGCTCTCTATTCTGTTCCATTGGCCTATATGTCTGTTATTGTACCGAAACCATGCTGTCTTGATGACTGTAGCTCGGTAGTATTGTCTGAAGTCTGGGAGAGTTATTCCTCCAGCCTTTCTTTCTCTTCAGTAATGCTTTGGCAATTCTAGGTCTTTTGTGGTTCCATATAAATTTTATTATGATTTGTTCTAGTTCTGTGAAATATGTCCTGGCTAATTTGATAGGGATTGCATTAAATCTGTAGATTGCCTCGGGCAGTGTGACCATTTTAACAATATTGATTCTTCCAATCCAGGAGCATGGGATATCTTTCCATTTTTTTAAAGTCTTCTTTAATTTCCTTCATCAGTGGTTTATAGTTTTCTCTGTATGATTCTTTCACCTCCTTGGTTAGATTTATTCCTAGATATTTTATTACTTTGGGTGCTATTTTAAAGGGGATTGTTTCTATACTTTCTTTTTCTGTTGATTCATCGTTAGTGTAAAGAAATGCAACTGATTTTTGAATGTTAATCTTGTAACTTGCTACCTTGCTGAATTCTTCAATCAGCTCTGGTAGTTTTTGTGTGGACCTTTTAGGGTTTTCTATATATAGTAACGTCATCGGCATATAGTGACACTTTTACCTCTTCTTTTCCAATTTGGACCCCTTTTATTTCTCTCTCTTGCCTGATTGCTGTGGCTAGGACTTCAAAGACTATGTTGAATAGGAGTGGTGATAGTGGGCATCGTTGTCTTGCCCCAGATTTTAGTGGGAAACTTTTGAGTTTTTCACTGTTGAGTACTATGCTGGCTATAGGTTTGTCATATATAGCTTTTATGATGTTGAGATATGTTCCCTTTCTACCCGCTTTGGTGAGAGTTTTTATCATAAGTGGGTGTTAAATTTTATCAAATGCTTTTTCTGCATCGATTGAGATGATCATGTGGTTTTTGTCCTTTCTCTTGTTGATGTGATGTATTACACTGATTGATTTGCATATGTTGAACCACCCTTGTGTCCCTGGGATGAACCCCACCTGATCATGATGTATAATCTTTTTTATGTGCTGTTGGATTCTGTTTGCTAATATTTTGGTGAGGATTTTTGCATCTATGTTCATCAGTGATACTGGCCTATAATTCTCTTTTTTTGGTAGTGTCTGTGCCTGGTTTTGGTATTAGGTTTATTGTTAAACTTATCTTTGGTCTTAATTTTATTGTCTTATTGTATATTTTTAAATGTTTTCCTATATTAGATATAAGGTTTAATGTGGAACAAACAAAAAAACCCAAAAAACCTTTAACAGGACAAAGGGAAGCATTACAATGGTAAAGAATAAGATCAACAGGAAGCTAT